TTTCAGCAATTGAATTAAAACTAGTTTCACTTAACTGCAATGTTGTTACCTAATCTGTGAATTAATGAAATGCATTGCAATGGCAATCTTTTCTTCCGGTGGTAGTTTGACATTCAGCTTTTTGATTAATTAATTTCACTGCTAATTCACCTACATGGTATTCTTGCGGATAAAACGCCTGAATATCATAGGAAAAAGGGTACTCAACTTTAAGATTTTGCTTAGCCCGCTCAATCGCAAAATTAATGTGATCCGCTAAACTAAACAAAATATTTGGATTTAGATCGTGCTTAAGAACAACTTGTGCCTCATGAATAATCTCGGCACTGATATCCAATATATTTGCTGGCAATTCCTGGATTAACTTAAAATTGTGGGTATCCATGCGGTAAAAAGTCATTCTGATCTTACGCAAATCTGTCAGTTTATAAGGCATTGCCGGAAAACCGATGCCTTTGCCAAAAGCTACCAATTCGTCATTGTTTTGATCTAAGCAAATTGCCACGTTATTATTGATTTTTTTAATAACTTGCATTTAGTGCTCCTAATCAATTGACTGCGTGATTATATCTTCTTGTCTTGTTACTTGCGTGCCAAATGTTTTAACAAAGTGCCAATTTTGATGCTCTGGTATTAATTGGTTAAAACAACAATAGTGGTCAAATCCGCCTGCTTTGCAGTTAAAAATTGCCGGTTGAGTTCAATCAGTTCCTGGCCCTTGTTTACCTTGTCGCCCAGCTTAACTAATGCTGTAAATCCTTTACCGTTCAAATTAACCGTATCAATTCCAATATGAAGCAGTACCTCATCACCGTCATCGGTTACGAGCCCAACCGCATGTTTAGATTCAGGGAGTGAAACTACTTTAGCTTCGACTGGCGAATAAACAACGCTTTCATCTGGCTGCGGCTTTATTGCAAAACCATCACCCATTAATTTTTGAGCAAAAACAGGATCAGAAACACGCTCAAGTTCAGTAAAGACTCCACTAATAGGTGCTACAACGCTTAACTTTTGTTTGTGCTTTTTTAATAATCCAAACAAGATTTCTCCTCCAAAACAAAAAACTCTTTGCGACCATTACCAACTAGAAAGTACT